TCTAAATTGAATTTATGAACCTATCATTATCATAGCTAACTGTAAACTAACTACACTAACAGATAGATAATATTTTTGTGAACCTCACAAATTTTGTTTCACTATTTTTGGACATCTATAGAATTTACTATTATTTTTAAAGTTTAGCTCAAAACTAAATTAAATAAACATTCATAACTTCACTGGAAATTGAAAAACGCATTCCACCGTGTGGCCCAAAATGCGAGTGGCTCGGCCAACACTGGTGCAACGTGCGCGCGCACACGACGCAATGTGCGGCCCACACGGGCGTGGCCCAGTCCGCGCGACATCAGCCCACGACGGGGAAGACCCGCGCGCACCACACATCTTACGAAAACGCCCTCGGCCTACCCGGTATTCATGCGAGCACCAAGGGCACTATTCTGCCAGTCTGCTATCTTACAACTAAGCCCCTCCCCCTTTCCATCTTTACCACGGCCATACCCTCGGCCCCCCGCGCGCGCACCGGTGCGGCGGTGCTGGCACCGGGCGGTTACGCTGGCCAGACCAGTCCCTCCCCGCCCCCAAATGTGAGCCGATATCTACCTAGGCGCGAGCGCGAGACGATGGGCAAAGAAAGCATGAGCTAGGATGCCGTAGTAAGGCCGGTCCACGGTGGCAGAGCTCCTGCAATGACAACGGTGATGTTTTTATGAGCTACATCAACACCGGAGAAGTTGGGGTAGCTAGTGAGCTTGAGGGACTCACCACGGACACAGACAAGGTGATGGTTCGACCGGAGATGGCCCGAGCCGAGCTGGCCACGTGCGCACGGACGGTGCGGTGGTGCACGGTGGTAGCAAAGCTGTGTCAGGTGAGGCTAGAAGGTGGTAGCGACTAGGAAAGGTTGCGCATGGTGATGAGTAGGTGGACACGAATCTGACGGTGCAACGAATTGAACACGAGGTGGTCTAGATTGGGGCTTTGTCAACGACGCGTGCCATGGCGGTCTTAACGGCCCGACGGGAGGAAAACTCCAAATTGGAGCATGGCATAGCACGGATCACGGCGCGATGGGGTCGGGTGGCTGGCTGCCTACACCACGAAGCTGTGGACTGAGTTAATTGGACCGAGGCGGCTCCACCAGGTCGAATTGCAAGCGCGGGTCCGGCGACCAAGGCGACAGAGGAACAGGGGACAGCCGGCAAGGCTTGGCGTGACGTTGCTGTGGCGGGACGCGGCTGTCAACTCGAAGCACAATTGCGCACGTGCTACAGGGCGATGGGGAACCAGTCAAGCGTGCACAGGAACGGTTTGCCGCCTTGCCATAACTCACAAGCCGACGGCGGCTCGGCCCTACGCGCCGTAGTGGATGACGCCGGCCAAGGGAGAGGCAGCAGCATAGTGACGCATCAAGTATGGATGTGATGGCAAGGTAGGCGGGGCAGACCCACGCGCGGCAAGGTGACAATGCGGGTGAGCGCGCATGGGCGCGGCAGCAGGTGGTAGTGGCCAACAGCAGGCCCGGCCAGCGCGGTGGCACGCGTACGGCGTGCGTGCGCGTGCGCGGCGTGTGAGTGAGCGCGTGCCAGGGCGCGGCAATGGTGCGTGCCAGGGCAAGCCAAGGCTGCGGCGCCGAGCCGAACCGAGGCGGTGACCGTGTCTAGATGCTGACGCCAGCTGGGAACGTGCCATGCATGCTTTTTAAAGCGTCCCAAAAATCCCACTCAATGATCCAATTGCTAAATCACCTATTCCATACTCGAGATGGCACATTAGGCTACTAAAACCAGACCTATGAACATACCACTAATTAACCCGATTCTCCCACAAAATTTCTCAAACTTAGCCTCGTCAACCCGTTTTCTAACTTAAGAAACTTGACCACGTCTTGATCGGTTTTGCGTTGAATTCGATTTCCAAGCTCTTAAGTATGCTCGCTAGCGAATCCCGCTCTTGACCGCAGGTATTTCACCGCCACCTACGAAACTTGTACTACAAACTTTATTAAAGTTTCGTACATGCGTTCTATAACATTTTTGTTCAATAAAAATTCATTAAAAACCCTAAGTGATATAACGCGACATGAAATATAACATTCGTTTCACGTTTCCGATGAACGTTTCAAGTCACAGAAATTGATTTACACACTATAATTCATACAGTATTACATAAACATGATGCACATGCATAGTTTTAGAAAAAAATTTACAGTGTAACACCGTGTTACACTGTGTGCGTTAAAATTACCAACAACACCCCACTTAGGCTGCCCTATAAGTTGCTTAACACCCCTAGAGACTTCTCAAGCGAACCCTAGAGAAGAACCCCCAAGAACACCGAGAACACCTCTTAACATAGGTTCTATCGATGTCTTGACGGACTGTCCGACGCTAACCACTAGACCATCCGACAGCACCTTACCATTCCAACAGCGATGGAGTGTTATACTTAGGCACAATCCTCCCCACCATAATCCATCCGACTGTCCAATAGTTCACATCAAACTATCTGTAAATTCACACAGAGACGTTGCAACTCGGCCATACCCATTAGATCGTTTCCTTTTCACATGGGACCGTCCAAAGAACCAACAGATCATCCGACATATCACATCGGACCGTCGGATGACACGTCTAAAAACTCCATGCTTTCGAGAATTTATTCTTGGATCGATGGTTCTACTGGACAGTTCGGTAGTGCACAGAATATTTTCCTTGAGTTAACCTTTCTGTGGAAGCCCATGCGCCGCCCTATATACTAGGGGCCAATTGGAGTACAAAATTGAGGGTTTTCCTAGGGTTTCGTGTCCTAAGCTTCGGTCTTCTGGTGGCTCCGGGCATCGTCCTTCGTCTTGTAGCGGGAGGCCAACAATTTTCCAATTGCTCCTTACATCTCCTGCCACCGCCTAGAGCTGACCATCAGTGCTGTCTGCTATTGTTATGTACTTGTGCCATCCCTAGGTTTGTCTTCTCATGGCTTCCATCGCACTCCATGATCTCGTCCACACGCAGAGGAAGACTATCATGCATACTTGGATCCCTCACATAGTGGGCGTGTAGGAGTCCTTGTCATGATGCATCACGCCCCGAGCGTGGCCCTGCGTCGGGAATGGCCGACACAACCTCATGGGAGCGGAGAAACAGGGCTCCAGCAAAGCGTGATGCCCTATTGCTTTGCCCATGTGTTAGGCTTCGGATGCCTGACAGATTCTGCAGTATATTCTCAGCGTCGGTTGGGGTTGGAGCCTTGCCAGAGGTAAGGCCAAGGTTTGCGTGGTGGCACTCGCTCAGCTGTTGTCCCTCGAGGTCAAGAGCCTCTCAGGCCCACCGAGCCCACGAGCTTGGGTGACCCGAACGAAGACTTAGTTTCTTGGCTCGTTTCCCAGGTACTTGGGTCTTCTCCCGAAATGGGCCTTCAGAGGCCTACCAAGCCATCTATCAATTGGCCAGATAGGTGTAGCCCACGAGCCTCTAACTGATTAGGCGAATAAGTTAGGGGGTGTTAATCGAACTATCATGGCGATAATCCAGGGACTTAATCTACCCTATGTTCGATACTCAATAATATTAATTTGGAAGAAATTATTTAGCATAGACATTGGCATTGGTAGATGACTTTGAATATATCTGCTGAGGTTGCAACACTCCCATCGTAAATTTTGATATCAAAGCACACCATTCTATTATATCGGGATTTTTGTTACAAGATCCATGATTTTGGACTGGGCATATTATCGATATGCTAAATGTCTGCATATGATTCCGACGACTATGAGGAGACATGTAGCGCCCGTGGTTACTAGACTATGCCACTAGCACACCCACGACAGTATAATGGGTTGAATGACCACATGACACATGTGTGGCACCCCCCATGCACTACTAGCGGGTTGGGCCTCCGCACATGCTGGCGGTGGGATTTGCTAACTGACGCACCATAGTGGTGTGGATGGATGGGCATATGCAAAAGATGAACATGAGAAGGAAGGCGATTGGGACGTGAGAGAGAAGGAGATGATGGAAGAAAATATAGATATAGTCTATACTCAATTATTGCACACACTGCGTCGTCCGTGGCGTGTATCATAGCATAGATTATAATGACACTGATAAATTAAAACTTAGAGTTGCTATAATTTAGGTGTCTGGTATTTTAGAAAACTTTAGACAACAATTTTACACAATCAACTAGTACAACTAAAAGAACAACCCACAAGAGAATTTATAATTTTTTTCTTTGCCAAAATAATGACAAAATTTTATGTTGTCTAAACAACAACAAAATCAGGGACCAGATATATCCGCCATCTTTTACATGACGAAAGTTGCACCAGACTCTCGCGCATCTGATTCGGCCACGTAGCCTGCTTTTTTCTCAGCCGTCGGATTTTGATCGAGCGTGCAGAAACGGCCACAGAAGCTGGCGTCTCCGGAACCTTCCTCTCGAGCTCATGATTCGCAAGCGACTCGCTGTCGTCGCCGGGCCACCGCCTCCCTCTGGCCTTTACTGACCCCGCGACCTCTGCGAGCCCCACGCCCGCTCCGGCGTGGCGGCAGCCACCGTGCCCGCGCCCCCCGCCCGCTCCAGGGTGGCCGCAGCCGCCACGCTTGCACCCCCGCTCGCGCGGGGGTCGCCGGGACCGCCGCTCGCGCGCCCCCGCCTGTGCCGGGGTCGCAGGACTGCTTAGTCGTACTTCGCGCTCCTCCGCGAGAGCAACTCCTTCCGCCTGTGACCCCTCCTCGCCGCAGCTGCGCAGCCCTTACGAGCTGATGCCAGATGGCCTCCGCGCCGGGGAGCAGCCGCTCGCACCGGTGGAGCCGCTGTGCGCTGAGAGCCCACGAAGCTCGCGCCGCCGGAGTAGCGTGCTCCCGGTGGCCAGCCGCGCACGCGTCGTGAAGCCGGCCCCTCCCCCGCCGGGGCCACGTCGCCGCGGCGGCGGTGGCTGAGAGAGTGCACGCGCCAGGCCGGAGGCGGCGGCGCTCTCACGGGACTGGCCGGCAGAGGTGACACCAGTCTGCAGCGATCCCGACCCAGCGATGGTGAAGACAACAGCTGGACAGCGCCACTCGTGTTCCCGTGTGCTCGTCGTTGCCAACGACCAAAGAACTCAATGCGGCATCGCCGCTAAGCCAATGTGTTCGATGAAATGGTATCCTTTTTTTTATGTATTTCTTCCTCTCAATCTTTCTAGATGATTTGTACATACCACATCTCTATCGTTACAGAGTAACAGAGATGTCATCGCCGCCGCTGTGTGCATCAACGCACCGCTCGCTCAGCTCAGGGACAAGGCTGCGGGATTCTGCACCGGGGTGGCCACGGCGCTAGCTGCACTCCGGGGTCTTCTCGAGCAGCGGGTGGCGACGACGTCTGAAGGTTCGCCCTAGTTTCATGTACTTTGCCCTTGATTACTTTGCACCATGAAGCTCATCCCCAATATCATCATAGTAACCTATTCCCGAGTTGGCTTATCGCAATGTTTTACTGCTTGGTGTGATGTGGCCTGATCTTATTGTACATATCCCTTGTTTCCTGTTATCAATAGATAGGCTGAGCTAGCTTTTGGTTGGTGCTCTTCTTGGTGCCCACATCTAAAATGTGTGGCATTACAATTGGTAATATTTGTCTTTTTTTTGTGAACACGTAATATTTGTGTCTTAAGCATCTGAAACTAAGAAGGAATTGATACTTAGAATTAATTGAAGACAAATATATGTACCATAAACATAAATTCCTTGTTATTTTGGTACAAATAAATTAAAAAAAAGAATTTAGGACCCAAACAAGAAACCAATCTCACTACCTGATGTTCAAGCCCCCAGAGCTGATTGCTTCTAGCTCAGCCATCATTTTTGTAATTGTCTTGGATGTCTACCTTCTTTCGCAACATAATTGTTCCCCATTTCTTTCGTCGTGGTAGCTCACCATGCCAACATCTCTGAACTTACTAACAGCTTCTCCAGCTCCCCTACTGTGCATGATCAAAGGATTCCATGTTCCTGACATGACAAAGAACCCTCCAAATTAAGTAACTGTCATGTATGGACTGATTAGATGTACACCGTGTGCTTCCTCTAATTAGATTTGTAGTTAATTTTAGTATCTATACTGTCATTACTTCCAAAGTTTTCTTCAAATTATTATCAGCGATGACTCTATTCTGATTTATGCTTATCTAAATGACTCCCTGATAATATTGGAGTTTCTATTTCAGCCCATGAACATGTATGTTCTATCATATAATTTTGCTCCTAATTGTGTATATTTATCTGAATGTTTGATTTTGCAGGCAAGAGTTGACGATTAGGCCATCTACATAATCACGGCGATCAGGAAAGAGCCAAGCAATGAGTTTGATTTCAGTGACATCCATCATCGCAATGCTCAAATTCAATCAATATGAGCAATTTCCCTACACGCTTTCCTCCAAGCAATGACGGAAGCAAGTTATGTGATGAGTCATCAGCTAAAAATTCCGCAGACAATGAGAATAACACAGTAACACTGGTCAGATCCAAAGGAGTGATTTAATCGGCTACAAGAATGGTACCTATGTTGTTAGTCATTCCACACATTGTTTGAGGCTATATTATGGAAGGACAAGCTTACAATCCTATCACAGTAATTTTGTTTTGTCAGTTAGTTTATGGGATCCTATCTTTTTACTCTTTGTAGGGTAAAACTAAGATCGGAAGGACGTTGTAATGGTTGAGTGTATGCTGGTGGTGGCATGCGAAAGGAGGCTGGTTCTTGCAATTGGTGCCGGAGCAACCTCGGCTCTCCATACATTTGAGATCTACATACACTTAACTATGACATGCTTGAGCAAGAGTCATTTTAGTTGCAGATATCAGATATCTGTAGTCCTCCTGCTGCCTTTCGTTGTAGATCTTCTATACAAATATATTGACCATAAGCCATTATCTTTTACAAATGCTATAGTCATCTTCAAAATTTTCAGCATTAGTTTCTGCTCTTACATGTGCTTGCATGTATACCCTCTTTGAGCTGCAGCAACATCACCAAAACTGTAGAAGAATTACTCTTTTTTCTGAACTGAGACGATAATATAATGTTCACATGTTGATGTTTGATAAACAGACAGGGTTCTCTAAAACACCTCTCGTATTATTCAGGTTCTTGCCTTATGTTACGATATAAGATTAATGTGCATTTGAGCCTCCTTCAAAGACTGTATGTAACTCGATTGTTACTCTCCTATGTCACAGCTTCATCCTTCATGTATCTCCTTGTCACTACTGATTCAGGTGATTACTGTATGAGTTTTGAGTCAAAATTATGAGAGTTATATATGAAAGTAGGAAATGCTTTGCTTGCTTGCACCCATGTATTAAGTCATAACCAGTTTAACACTCAAAACATTCCTTGTCTCCATTTAGCATGGTCCCTTGTGTCCACAATAACACTCCTAGGTTCAGCTACTACCTCATCACATTTCTTGCTTTCATACAGTAAACTAGCAAAAAAAAAACCCTGCTTACATCTGTAAGAAACAAATGTGAACCAATGCTGTACCATGACGATCAGTACCTGTTCATTACAATTATTTTAAAGGCAAACACGAATTCCATACTGGCCCAATCCAGTGTAGGCGCGGCAATGCCGCGCCCTGTTTTCTAGTGAATAACGGGGGATGTAATGGAAAGGACGACAGGCCATGCGAAGGCGCAAAGTCGCTCACTCGCTTGCGGTCCAGTCATGGCAAAATTTCCACAGCCAAGTCAAAGAACCGATCGTTGTCGGTCTACTAACTCCATCACTTGACTGTTGACTCTCACACAAAACCTCCCCGAGTAAAGCAGCACAGCCTCCGGGTCTCTCCCTCCGCTCCCCATTCACACGCGTGATGGCTCCTCTGCTCCTGCTCCTCCTCCTCCTCCTCCCCGTCTAGCTCCTCCTCGCCGTAGCCGATGCCGTCCCCGATTCCTGCACCAAAGCCACATGCGCCTGCCAGGACATCCACTACCCGTTCTGGCTCAACTCCTCCGCGCCCGACTGCGGCTACGCCGGGATCGGCCTTCTCTGCGAGGACAACTCGACGCTGATCCTCCCCTTCAATTCCCACAGATACATAGTATCCAGCATCGACTACAAGACGCATACCGTCCTGGTCTCCGACGCCGACATCGCCGACGAGTACGCGGCCGGCTGCCCGCGGCTCCACGTGAACCTCACCATCGACACCGTCTGGCTGCGGCTCGCGCCCTCCGCTTCCAACATCACCTTCCTCTACAGCTGCAAGAGGAACATTTTTTTTTAACGAACCGGCAGGAAAGCTGCCCGCTATATTAAAAAGAAGGAACGTCCAGACGGACACTGTACAAGCTCAGTCAACTTGACTCTGTACACAACTAGAAAATCAAGAGGAACATTACCCTGTCATCTGCCGTGGAGTTGAGTGGGTGCCAACCACAACAACAAGATGGCAATAGGTCGTACGTGCTGCGGGATGGTGGGATCACGGGTGCTGAGGCGTACGAGTTCGAGTGCGAGGAGGTGGTGGTGGCGCCGGTGCTGGATGTACACAAGAAAGCAGTCGTGGGCGCGCCTGGCGGTCCGCCTCCGGAGAACGGATCCTTCCGTGAGGTGCTGCAGGGCGGGTTCGAGTTGAACTACGACACCCACAACCACCAATGCGACCGATGCGAGGGCTCCGGCGGATGGTGCGGCTACCAGCGCGACGAGACGCACGTCGGCGGCTTGACGTTCACCTGTTTCTGCGAGGGCGGCCGGACCACGGATCGTTGCGTAACAGGTATGTCTCCTATTCCGTGCATTACTTTTCTTTTTTTTTTACTTCTCTTCTCGTTTTTCTGCTTGTTGGCGCTCCTAGCGTCTGGACGCCGGGATTCAGGAGCACGTCCGGACGCACCTCCAGCCCCGTCCGAGTGTTCACCCAAGCACGAAACCACGCCTCCGCCGCCCGCGAAAAATAGTAGCACTACTAGAGAACAGACTTTAGAACGATATCCCAATTTGACATTAGTCTCGGCATTTTTTGCCCCCGAGACTAAAGGTTCCTTTACTCCCGGTTGGAACCACCAACCGGGACTAAAAGTCCTCCAACCTTTAGTTCCGGTTGGTGTTACCGACCGGGACTAAAGGGTCCTTTAGTCCGGGTTACCCTTTAGTCCCGGTTAGTAACACCAACCCGGACTAAAGGACCCTTTAGTCCCGGTTGGTAACACCAACCGGGACTAAAGGTCCCCTGATGGGTTAGTTCAAAAGGAAAGCATCCCATCCATTGTTAGATGTGTTGGGTAGGTGGGGTGGTAAGCTCGCGCGAGGCACTGCATGAGGTCTTGGGTTCGAATCTCATAGGGCGCAGCGGTGGGAGGCATTATTTTTTTAAGCTGGGAGGATCTTTAGTCCCGGTTGTGGCAAACCGGGACTAAAGAACACCACCTTTAGTCTCGGAACGCTAATCTCGGTTGGGAAACGGGGACTAAAACCAGTTCCCAACCGGGACTAGATGTCAGTTCTGTAGTAGTGTAGACTCATTTTGATCCCTGACCAAAACAACAGAGCACCTAGCGCTTCGCGGCCCCACAGAATAGTAGACTCGTTCTGTTCCGTAGGTGCCGCCATCCCGCCATCCCACCGCGCCAACTCGCCCCCCGCCATCCCGTCGCGCCGGCCATCCCCCGCCACGCCCACGCCAGGTGCGTCGCATCCTCATCGCGCTCCCATCAGAAAGTATTGCTTGTTTGCATCATCAAACAAAAAAAATGCAAGATGCAACATCAGAACAAGTCTACTACAACATTAGAATAAATCGATTGCAACAACAGAACAAAAGCTACTGCAATACGAGATGCAACATAAAAAAACAGAAACTAATGCAACAAAAAATATTACTTGTTACAACACCGTAACAAGGCTACTGCAATAAAAACAGAACAAAAGCGCAAATGCGAGAAATCAACATCAGAAAAAAAGATTAATGCAACAAAGAAAAATTACTTGTTGCAACAACAAAACAAAGCTACTGCAACAACAAGAAACAAAGCACAATGCGAGATGCAACATGAGAAAAAAAGACTAATGCAACAAAGAAAAAATACTTGTTGCAACAGCAAAACAACGATACTGCAACAACAGAAACAAAGCGCAATGCGAGATGCAACATCAGAAAAAAGAGACTAATGCAACAAAGGAATATTACTTGTTGCAACAACAAAACAAGGCTATTGCAACAGAGCTCGCTGGAACCCTAGCCACCGCGGCGTCCCTCAGATCCAAATCCAGAGGAGGAGGAGGAGGAGAGCTCAGATCCAGAGGAGGAGGTAGAGGAGGAGGGCTCAGATCCACCTACCTCGCCGGAAGCTGCCGCTGTCGCCCTCCTCTCCGGTGGCATGGAGGTCGCGAAGGGAGGGGTGGCTCGCCAGAAGCTGCCACCGTCGCCCTCCTCTCCGGTGGCTTGGAGGTCTTGGAGGGAGGAAGGGAGGGAGGGGAGGCTCGCCGGAAGCCGCCGTCGTCGTCCTCCTCTCCGGTGGCATAGAGGTCGCGGAGGGAGGGAGGGGCGGCGGCGCGCGAGCGCTGCGTGCCAGTAGCAGGAGCGAGGACCGGGAGGAGGAGTGGGCGAGCAGAGTGGACGAGCGGGAGGAGGACGCGGGCGAGCAGAGCGAGGCGCGGTCGGATAAGGTGAGGTGTGGTCGGTCGCGTCGAAAGTCCTTGCGTGTTGGGCACTGGGAGTTGACGCCTCGATCGTCCACGTTCAACCAGGTATCTGGTTTCTCTGCGAATACAGCGCTACCTCTTTGTTGGCCATGTCTCGCCTACCTTGTGTCCTAATCCTGTGTGTTCGTGCCCCTAACTCCCATTAGATTCTGATACCTCTAGTTATACGCAGCAGCTCTTGGATCTTTAAAAAGATATTGTGAGTATGACATAAGCTTGCACCCTATTAAATGATAGTCAAATTATGTGGAAAACCTAGACGATGATATTGAAACAATCACGACAAGAGACTAGGATTTGATGAAACCGACCGCAAATTCTATAAGAACAACTCCAAAAGAGTATAAATGATTATCGCTCTTTCACAATCCCTCTAGGACCCACTGATTCCTACACTATACAAAAATCTAGTGCAATAGAACTTTTAGCCCAATCTTCTTGAGTGTTCCTAATTGTTCCTTGCAACAATGATTCCTACCCTTGTGTTGGCTTGGTTGATTTCTATGGCCTATACCCTTTATTTATATAGTCCACTCCTAGACCCTAACACATGCAAGTAGAAGTCCTATTTCTTGTAGGATTCTACACTCAAGTACTAATGAAATTAGAAGTACACACCACTATTGAGTCATATTAAAAAGTAAGATCTGAGTCACCACACAACACCTCCCATGCCGTCCTCCAATGACGGTTCGATTTGCTCGGAGTCGTTCATGTGCGGCAGTGTCAATATCAGCTAATCCCTTCTGCCTTTTCGATCGATGCAACCAGAGTGACCACCTATCACACATCCTACTAGTCCTGCGAGTTGCGGCTACACTGACCTACGACTTATTACAGACGTGTGTCGGGAATGCGCATTTGTGAATTCATATCACAGACGCGCATTGCTGTGGTGTCTGTAGGGAGCGTTGTACAGTTTTTTACATAGTGCCCGCTAGATGGAAACATCTTTTTGAACCGAAAGGTTTGTTTTGTAGATTCTCTTGAGGAGTTTCTAGCTGAATCTTTGAAGGGCTCTACCAAATAATATTTTATAAAGAAACATTGTACGTTTATTTTGTGAAATGGTTATCCTAAATGAACAAGGAGGCTTGAAACTGAAAAACCTAACTACCTTTGATTCACTTACTATATACTCCTAATTGTAGAGAAGTAAGTACTTTCAGCCAAAAGTCTTATAGAGAAGTACTTGCAGCCAAAAAAATTATAGAGAAGTACTTGCAGCTAAAAAAACACATATCTTTATACAAACCACCTTCCCCACGTAGAATTAAAAGCATAAGAAGATCTTAAGAAACCCAATTTTTGGAGCATAATTTCACACGTTAACAAATTTTCTTCTAGAAAATGAACATCCTGGCTTCAAGTACTAGCTTATAGCCTTATACTATATTCTTTTGATTGGTATATACGTTCCGAGTGGAATTTAACTGAAATCACCCCAATGTAGTACAGAGTGAGTTAAAGTCCTATCTTGTCTGGACCAACAAGCTTAGGGATCATATAGCACGCAGCGGAAGAAAATTCTATCGACGCAGGTTCACCCAATTTTCTTCCCAGGCAGCGGACGATCACTGATTCAACGGTTTGGCACGGACCGGCGCAAGACCACCAAGTCCACGCTACTTCAGTCTCCATCTCCCAGCGTGTCCCACCTCCATGTCAATCGGCTTGTTTGGAGTATCTCCTGCACCACCTCCGGCCCACCACCAACCAGCCTTCGCCGAAACCCGGTCACGACGTCAAGTCCACGGGACCTATAAGTCACAACTCACGAGAAACCAAACGCGTGCCCAGTTGGAGCTAACAAAACTGCTAGATGAGCGTGAGCCCACCTCGTCTTCTCGCCACCATGGCTGCCAACCTACCGCGTCTCCCCGTCCTCCTCTTCATCTTCCTCGACGTCCATGTCCCCTCCACCCATGGCGACCCTCCTCTTCCGAGCACTTACGACGTCTCCATGTGCTCGGAATCCACCTGGTGCGGCAGCGTCGAAATCCACTACCCAAACGGCTTGGCACGGACCGGCGCAAGACCGCCAAGTCCACGGTACTTCAGTGTCCCAGCGTCCACCTCCATGTCAACCCGTGTTAGCTCCTGCACCACTTCCGGCCCACCACCAATTAACCAGCCTTCGCCTAAACCTGGTCTAAAACTGCTGTTCGGCTGATGGTTTTTACGGCTGATAAGCCGACTAAAGCTGATTTTTTATGAGAGAAAAAACGCTAAAGCTGATTTCTTATGAAAAAAAATACTATTTCATAACTGATAAGCTAGACTAATAAGTTCTAATTTATATAGTTAGCTAAACTTTAGTTAAGGTGCATCTAAACAAGGCCATAGACTATGTCTAGAAAACCAATGTAAATAGATATACAAAATCTAAACGTCTTACCGTTTAGAACAGAGGTAGTTTTATATTCGTTTGATTGGTATATACGGAGGGAGTAATATTTTATACTTTTGATTGGTATATACGGTCCGAGTGGAATTTAACTGATCAAACGGCTGGGCTCGGGCCGGCAAGGCCGCCAGGTCCACGCTACTTCAGTCTCCCAGCGTCAGTGCGTCACACCTCACGTCAATCCGTGTTAGCTCCTGCACCACCTCCGGCCCACCACCAACCAGCCTTCGCCGAAACCAAACGCGTGCCCAATTAGAGCTAACAAAACTATCTCAAAAAAAAGGAGCTAACAAAACAGCCAGATGAGCGTGAACCCACCTCGCCTTCTCGCCGCCATGGCTGTTCACCTACCATGTCTCCCCGTCCTCCTCTTCGTCTTCCTCGCCGTCCATGTCCCTGTTACCCATGCCGACCCTCCTGGCCTCCTCTTCTGAGCACTTACAACGTCTCCATGTGCTCGGAATCGTTCTGGTGCGGCAGCGTTGAAATCCACTACCCGTTCTACCTTGCCAACGCAACCGAAACAATCGCCGATTACAGCGGGAACATCTTCTCTTGCGGCTACACTGACTTGAGCATTTCCTGCAAACTCGAGGGGCAGACCTGGATCCCTACCATCCGTCTCGACGGCGACGACTACACCGTCGAGAACATATCCTACCACTACGACCATCAGACCATCCTACTGGTGGACAGCGATGTGCTCGGAGGCGCAGGCGGCGACTGCCCTGCTGTCCGCCATGAAGTCAGCTTCGACGGACATGGCTGCATAGCAGCATAGCAGCAGCTACAACGACAACCTCACCTTCCTCTTCGGCTGCGACCGACGCGGTCCCGTGCCGCCTGAATTCGACGCATACAAAATCAACTGCACGCAGTTCAAGAGTCCGCCAGGTGCTGGCCCTGGAGACTCCTTCGTGGTCATTATGATTGATGAGCATGACAGGTATCTGGAGCAAGAATTGGCTACGAACTGCGGCAACACCATGGTTGTCAGCGTGCCAGTGAGAGGCGATGTTCTGATGGCAGCAAGTTATACCAAGAGCAACTTCACAAGCGGCGGATACGGAGACGTGCTTAAGCGTGGGTTCGAGTTGGAATGGAGCCGTATCACAGAGGATGGGTGTCACCTGTGCGAGGCGTCGAACGGGCAATGCGCCTATAGCCAGCACAGGGACTTCCTGGGCTGCTTGTGCGACGGAGGGAAGGTTGGCAGCCCGGACTGCAAACACATCGTCCCTGCGACTGCGAGCACCGCAACTGCATCACGTAAGTCCTCCTGAACCAACACTTTGTTTTTGCAATCACCAGAGCACGCACCGGTTGCGTCAGTAGCTTGGAACCTCGTAGCTATCCCCGCAACGTCCCGTGTGTGCGCGTCCCGCTGCTCCTTGCCTCGTGCTAACGGTGAACGCTTGACCTGATCTAGTCTACACTTCGTTGGGGTTTTTGCCTGAGAAATTAATGCTTGGGTAGGTACAGAGCTGGAAATTCTGGCTCCTGCTTGCATCATTCGACAAGGATGTTTACAGCCTCGCGACCCTCGTTCTGCTTTTTGCACCAAATCCGTCCTTTTTTCTCGTGAGCGAGATTCATCAGGCGGCCTGGCGGCCTGCCGTGCTCCACGAGCAGAGGCGGTATTGCCCCTGTTTCCGAGTGGAACAAGGACCAGGATGCTAAATGACAGGTATCTGGAGCAAGAATTGGCTACGAAGTGCGGCAACACCATGGTTGTCACCGTGCCAGTGAGAGGCGATGTTCTGATGGCCGCAAGTTATAACAAGAGCAACTTCACAAGCGGCGGATACGGGGGAGTGCTTAAGCGTGGGTTCGAGTTGGAATGGAGCCGTATCACAGAGGATGGGTGTCACCTGTGCGAGGCGTCGAACGGGCAATGCGCCTACAGCCAGCACAGGGAATTCCTGGGCTGCTTGTGCCACAGAGGGAAGGTGGGCATCCCGGACTGCAAACACATCGCATCAAGTAAGCTTTAATTAAACCTACCGAAAGATTTATTTCCGTCTTAAAAACAAAAAATCTGCTCCGTCTGCACAGCCAGCCATTCCATCGGACTTCCGATACCACGCCTGTGTGTCTTTCTATTGAGGTTTCGCTTCGCTTCACACTAAAATGAGTTTTAGGATTAGGTTTCCTATTGACAAAACAAAAAGGGAAAATGGTGTTCTTGCCCCTTACACAGATATACAATTGTGATTTTGCCCTCGTTTTTCTAACTTTATGATTTTGCCCTTAACTGTTCACAAGTCAACGTGATTTTGCCCCTGGTCAACGCGAATTACCCGTTGACCAGGGGCAAAATCACGTTGACTTGTGAACAGTTAAGGGCAAAATCACAAAGTTAGAAAAACGAGGGCAAAATCACAATTGCACATCAAAGTAGGGGCAAGAACACAAGAGCCCCCAACAAAAAAATGAAGGACTCAAAGCTCTTAAATTTTCAGAAGAATAGAAGACAATATGGGTTTTGCATAGGCCACCATGAATGAATCTAGTAAATTTATAGGCTCTCATCACCAGCCCATTACGAATCCACTACTAGGTCAAGCTTTCATCATTTCGCCAATCTAAGTGACTTGGCACTGAGAACATCCGTTGAACCGGCATGCCATTGTTTGGATTAGAGGAATTTCATAGGAATTTCAAAGGAATCCAATTCCTATGTTTTGCTTACATCACATGGTGTTTGGAATGGAGGAATGAAGTTTTCTTTTCCTTGCTTTCCTTTATGAAATGGAGGAAATAAAACTTCAACTCTAAGCTCTTGGAAATTTTTCCTACATGTGAATGGAGAGATGAGCAAGCCCTTGTTCACTAGAATGGAGAAATAAACATGTTCTTGTATGCCTTGTGTTCCAAACACCCATTCGTATAAAATTACTGTGTTTTTCCAATTCTCTTTTTATACCTACACTCGTTTTCTATTCCTGTGTTTTCTTCCTTTCCTCTGTTTTTCATTCCTCCATTCCAAACAAGCCCTATAGAATAGATTTCCACCACTGCAAGGAACCTCAATTATGAGGGAAATTGTTCTCAATGAGCATATAGCCGATTCCAAGGTAAAATTAAGTAAAACTTGTGGGCCCACCTGTCTCATTAAGTACTCCCTCTTTCTAAAAAGAAGAAAAATGTCGCTTGCCGATTCCAAGCTCAGTTGTGGCGGCTGTTGCTATTTATTTTCTACTACAAACAACAGTAGGTGTAGGTAAGGTTGCTGCAATAGCAGTCGCAACACTGTTACATCAAGCTGTTCTGATCATGCTGATATAAAAAAAACTATTTATGATGCGTGATAAGAGTGTATTTGAGAGGGCTCCTCCTGGCGGAGCCGTTTTAGATGAATCATAATTTATGGCTTCTTCAAAATAGCTCCGGCTCCTATTTTTTTCACTGAAAAACAGCTCCAAACTACTCCTGTTAAACTGTTTGGTAGGGCTCCTCCGGAGGAGCCAGAGCCGAGCCGAAGAGAGCCGAAGAGGAGCCCCTACCAAACGGAGCCTAATAAGTATCACTAGATTAATTATAGAATATATTTTTTATATAAGCCTACTATTTGAAGATACAAACATTGATATTCTTTTCTATTAATCTAGTCAAACTGAAATTATCTTTTGTAATACATTTGTGCTTTGTGTTTCTGTTTGACGTGAATTAGTTTAATCTTGCTCAAATCTGACATTGCGTTTTGTTTGTTGGCATACAGGATCAAAACGGAAAACACCAATTATTGTTGGTAAGCACTACGCAGCCTATAGTCAGTACCCATCTTCATTTAGTCTAAAAGAGCAGAAGAAAAGCATATAATGAATTTTTGGCATGACATGTTTTAGAATCCATAATTCTAAAAAAAAAGTATCTGGAATCCACTAACCAATGACAGGAATATAGATAAATTGCATCCTCCTTTTGGGCAATAATCTGATGAGTTTCCACACTGACTAACGGTGCATTTTTTCTTTGCAAATTGAATTTTTAGAATGCCTTGCAGTTGAATTCATTTGTGATGCAGGTATTGTTGCAGGCACGTTGTCACTTCTATTCCTGTGTCTAGTTATTCTCAAATTCTTCTCCACTTCTAAAGATGGTTTGCTGCCCTTCAAATCGAAGGATGAACCAAGGGTTGAGTCATTTCTACAAAAGAACGAGGACCTACATCCAAAAAGATACACTTATGCAGATGTGAAAAGGATGACAAAATCCTTTACTGTGAAGCTAGGCCAAGGTGGATTTGGTGCTGTATACGGAGGCAAGCTCTACGATGGCTGCCAGGTAGCAGTTAAGATGCTAAAGGACACCAAAGGTGATGGAGAGGAATTTATGAACGAGGTGGCTAGTATTAGCAGAACTTCTCATGTTAATGTTGTGATACTTTTAGGATTTTGCATACAAGGATCCAAAAGGGCACTTATTTACGAGTACATGCCTAATGGTTCGCTCGAAAGGTACGCCTTCAATAGCAACATGAATCGTGGAAATTCACTAAGTTGGGAGAAATTATTTGACAGCAATTGGCACGGCTAGAGGACTTGAATATCTCCACCGGGGATGCAATACTCGAATCGTGCATTTTGACATCAAACCACATAACATTCTATTAGATCAGGATTTCTGTCCTAAGATCTCTGACTTTGGATTGGCCAAGCTATGCCTGAATAAAGAGAGTGCTATCTCCATTGCTGGTGCAAGAGGGACAATAGGTTATATTGCCCCAGAGGTTTACTCAAAGCAATTCGGAATAATAAGTAGCAAGTCTGATGTGTATAGTTATGGAATGATGGTCCTTGAGATGGTTGGGGCAAGGGACAGGAATACAAGTGGAAATAGTGAATCTAGTAGTCAATATTTCCCTCAGTGGATTTATGAACATTTGGATGACTACTGTATCAGTGCTTCTGAGATTAATGGTGAGATGACAGAGCTCGTGAGAAAGATGATAGTGGTTGGTTTGTGGTGCGTACAAGTGATTCCGACTGATCGGCCAACAATGACTAGAGTCGTCGAGACGCTAGAAGGAAGCACAAGTAATCTGGAATTGCCACCCAAAGTTCACTTGAGCTGACAAGCATAGATATTTTCCTACTGATAAATATTGCTAGCGTTACCAGGTTGTACAATGCAAATATTTGTTATATAATATGCAGAACTAAGGCATGCATCAAATGCTATTTCTGTCCAGTAAACATAGATGTAATAGTAACTACATAAGAATTTCTGGACAGGGGTGCTCGTAGCTCGTACGACACTGTATGATGGTGTTAGATTCAGACTTGAGACTCGCTGCAAGCACTGATTCTCTTCTGTGTACTTGTACACTAAGCACGTGCCTGCGGTGGGATTTGCTGACTGACGCGCCATAGTGGTGTGGATGGACGGGCAGATGCGGCGGATGGACATGACAGAGGACAGGAGGAATCTGCGTCGTTTGGAGCGTGTATCATAGCGTGGATTGTAATGCATAGACAAATTAAGGCCCTGTTAGATTACATGGCAAAACTTTAGCCCTGTATTTTTAGTCCTTTTCACGGGGGCTAAAAGTGAGGAAATGGCTAAAAACTGGGCTAAAATCTTTTGCTCCCAAAGAGACCCTTAACTGAGCTAAAAGTGACTAAAGTGTACAGTGGACAGGTGCTGCCCCTCAATAATTGCTCCGACCCTGCCACGTTCCCCATTCTCTCTCTCCCTCTCGCTCGCATCTGCCCTCCCTGCCGCTGCGCTTCCTACGCCGCTGACACCGCCACCGCCCCTACGGCCATGGAGGGAAGAGGAGGGGAAGAGAGGCGGGCGCTGCCCTTGCGGCGGCGAGCTCCGGCGCGGGCGCATCTCCGGCGGCGGCTCCACGCGGGCGCGAGCGGTGCCCTGCCCTGGCACAGCTCGCCGGAGTCCGCCCCCGCCTGCGCGCCCCGCCTCGCCATGGCCACGTGCGCCCCCGCGAGCGCCTCACCTGCCACAACTCGTCGGCGCCCTCTCCATCTCGGTGGCTGAGCACCCCGGAGCGGCGTACCTCCGAGCGGCGGCCATCCGCTACCAACAGCAGCGCGACGACGTCCTCCTCGTCCGTGCCCATGGCCTGCCCATGGCGAGAGCTCTCATGGGCAGCAGCAGCGTGCGAGGAAGGAGAATTGGAGGGGGCAAATCAGTCATTGTAGATTAGAGGACTAAAATTTAGCCCATGGATCCAATCAGCCTAGCAGGACTAAACTTTAGTCCTCGGACTGGTGATCCAAACAGCACCTAAAATTGCGTCGTCTCGACTATGTGCCATGAAGGAGATGTAAGGACGACAGGCCGTGCCAAGGCGCAATCAGCTGCCGACTGTTCGTTTGCGGCTCAGTCATGTCAAAATTTCCACATCCAAGTCGAAGAACCGGTCGGTGTCAGCCTAACTTCCGTCACTTGTCTCTCCCTCCCTGCGGCTCTGCTCCTTCTCCTACTCCCCGTCCAGCTCCTTCTCGCCGTAGCGGACGCCATTCCTGATTCCTGCAGCAAAGCCATACGCGCCGGCCACGACACCCACTACCCATCCTGGCTCAACAACTCCTCCGCGCATGGCTGCGAGGGCAACTCGACGCTGATCCTCCCCGTCATGTCCCACAGATATGTAGTATTCAGCATCGACTACAAGACGCATACCGTCCTGGTCAGATCCTCCCAGCGTCCCACACGTCCATGTCAAATTGTCAATCATATCGGCTGGTTGGAGTATCTCCTGCAGACCTGCACCACCTCCGGCCCACCACCAACCAGCCTTCGCCGAAACCCGGTCAAAGTCCACGGGACCTATAAGTCATAACTGACAACTCACAAGAAAGTGAGAAACCAAACGCGCGCGTGCCCAATTGGAGCGAACAAAACAGCCAGATGAGCGTGAAGCCGTGAACCCACCTCGTCTTCTCCCCGCCATGGCTGCTCACCAACCACGTCTCCCCGTCCTCCTCTTCGTCTTCCTCACCGTCTATGTCCACTCCACCCATGGCGACCCTCTTCCGAGCACTTACAACATCTCCATGTGCTCGGAATCATTCTGGTGCGGCGGCGTCGAAATCCGCTACCCGTACGTTCTATCTTGCCAGCGCAACCGAAGCAACCGCCGATCACAGCGGCAACTACTCTTGCGGCTACACCGACTTGAGCATTTCCTGCAAACTCAAGGGGCAGACCTGGCCGGACCCCTACCATCCGTCTTGGCGGCGACGACTACACCGTCGAGAGCATCTCCTACGGCTACGACCATCACACCATCTCACTTGTGGACAGCGATGTGCTCCTCGGAGGCGGCGACTGCCCCGCAGTCCGCCACCAAGTCAGCTTCGACGAGACATGGCTGCATAACACCAGCTCCAACGACAACCTCACCTTCTTCTTCGGCTACGACCCACGCGATCCCGTGGCACCTGATTTTTACACATTCAAAATCAAATGCGCAGGGTTCAAGAGTCCTCCAGATGCTGGCCCAGGAGACTCCTTCGTGCTCATGCTTGGTGAGCTTGAAAGGTACCTGGTGCACGAATTTTCTACGAACTGCAGCAAGGTTGTCACCGTGCCACTGAGAGGCGATGTTCTGATGGCAGAAAGTAACCAGATCAACTTCACAAGCGGCGGATACGGAAACGTGCTTAAGCGTGGGTTCGAGTTGGATTGGAGCCGTATCACAGAGGATGGGTGTCAGCAGTGCGAGGAGTCGTACGGGCAATGCGCCTATAGCCAAGGGTATTCCTGGGCTGCTTGTGCCGCGGAGGGAAGGCGGGCAACCCGTAATGCAAACACATCGCATCAAGTAAGCCCTTAAACCTACCGAAAGATTCATTTTCCCTCCACTAGTGCAGGAGTGGGTTTCAGTTCTGGTTTGGACCCCCTCTAGTTCCGGTAACCGGGACTGTCAGTCCGAAACTAAAGGTCCGGCTTTAGTTTCGGTCCTCTCAACCGGGATTGATTTGGGACTTCTAGTCCCGGTTGGTACTACCAACTGGGAGTAAAAGCGGCTCCAGCCCAGCCCCAGGCGCTGCCACATATTACACCTCGGACTGAATGTCTCTTTTCTTTTCTTTTCTTTTACAGTTTCTTTGCATTGAATATTGTATGCACATATTAAGTGTGATGTTGTATATTACAATGATCATCCATCCCACAATCAAATTTTATACAAATCATAATAAATTTAAACCAAGTCATTACACACTACATGTCCAAGTATTCCCCAAAGTTCATGCAAACATAGTATGCCACCACTACTATCTAATGAAGTTGACTTTCTCATATTTTCAATTCGGTAAAGTGTAGGTCACCGATGTGGTATCCAAAAATATTATTGATGAAGACCAACGCATTAACTAGTGCACTCTCCCTTGCTTCACAATTACGAGCATAGGGTCTACTAACGACGTTTAACGGTGCTCGAGAAGTCGGTGGGTCTCCCCTCTTAGTCGCAAGTAGCTTTGCCTGAAATCCTTCCGTAGTGAGTGTTGGCCATTCATGAGCATATTTCCAATCATAACCCAATTGATACATTGTCTAGTTTAGAATGGCTTCAAAACTGCACCCTTTGTAGGTTAAGTCATAGTCCTCAACCTGTAAGTGTTGGCAGAAAAAAGGTTACGAAAACCAAGCTTTGCAACATATAACAACAAATCCAGATATAAGCTATGAGTTCGACTTCGACTTTACCACATCATTTCGGTTGTTCCGAGCGGTGCTTGCACAAAAGCCCTCAACATCATGACGCATGTCCGCATTTATAGCTTGTATCAGCACGGATGATAGTGTAGGCAGGGTGTACCCAATATTCGCAAGCTTAGTTACACATGCAATGACAACATATTTTTATGCAACAGTCTGCTGGGGTGCTTTTATTCTCATCTCTGAGATTTGTACAACACCTCTACCCCTTCTAGCGGCGATGAAAAAGCCAATTCGACATTGAATTAATGGACAATTATTTACATGAAAGGTCTGAACAACCACTTCCTTAACCCCGAAATTTGAGAGTGTCTCTTTAATCCAAATGATTGGGTCAATTACCTACGGTGCATTTAAGAATCACATATATATTCATATCTGAAAATATATTTATACAAGCGTATTTGACACATTAATTTATTGGAAACATATAGAGTTCCTTACTATACTTGGATGATTAAGCAGTACATCCGGCAACACTGGATCGAATCCCATCCATGTTACATAGCCACTTAAACCTATGACTTCCAGTGGAGGGAGACGACGTCCAACTATCTCTTCTCACTAAAGTCAATATATCAAATATCATATCACTGGAGACAATATTTTTCATACACGGAAATGCATATCACTAAAGTTAATTTTTTTCATAAGTCTACAAATATCAAAATTCACATCACTAAACCCTATATATCAAAATTCAAATCACTGTAGTCAATATTTATCATATACCAAAATACATAAACACTAAAGTTAATATATCAAAATTCATATATATATATAAATATATATATATATATATATATATATATATATATATGTATGTCACTGATGTCAATTTTTTTATA